AACTTTTGTCATGAGCCATTACAATATTCAAATGCGGAACTTAAAAAAATGAATATCCGGAGGTACCGTTATATGGGAGCCTAAACGAAGACGTGGACCTGCACAGACAATTTTTTGTCTTAGGCTGTAGTATCCATTCAAATACCAAATTTGAAAGAATTCCGATGAAAATTGTCTCTAAAATCATCAAAATACCGAATATCGAATATCGGGAGATACCGTTATGTGGGGGGCTATACGAAGACGTGGACCTGCACAGACAATTTTATGTCTAAGGCTGTAGTATCCATTACGAACTTCAAATACCAAGTTTGAAACAATTCCGGTGAATAATGTCGTTAAAATCATCAAAATACCGAATATCGGGAGGTACCGTTATGTGGGGGGCTATACGAAGACGTGGACCTGCACAGACAATTTTCTGTCTAAGGCTGTAGTATCCATTACGAACTTCAAATACCAAATTTGAAACAATTCCGATGAATAATGTAGCTACAATACCGAATATCTGGAGGTACCGTTATAAGGGGGGCTATACGAAGACGTGGACATGCACCGACAATCTCCTGTCATAGGATGTAGCATCCATTACGAACTTCAAATACCAAATTTGAAACAATTCCGGTGAATAATGTCGCTAAAATCATCAAAATACCGAATTTCGGAAGGTACCTTTATATGGGGACTATACCAAAACGTGGACCTATATGGCCCATTTTCAATACCAAAAGTCCTGCAGACATAACATACACTTGAGTAAAATTTTATTAATCTACTTCCATTCGTTCGGAAACTAGAGTGATTTCCACAGACGGACGGACATCGCTAAATCGACATAGAATGCTGATCAAAATATATATAGACTTTGTGGGGTGTAAATGTAAATGTTACAAACGGAATGACAAACTATGGTGAAAATTATTGCCAGGATTTTTTCCTGGTATTTATGGAGAAACAAATTCTATTTTGAAGACAATTTTAAAAATAAAAAAAAAATTCTCAAAAAAAAAATCCGCAATTCCCAGAAACTTCTTTTCTGGCATTTATGGAGAAAAACAAAATATTCCAACCCAATTGAATGTTTCCAGTATATGGCACTGCTTGCACTGAGCATGCACACATTTGCATGTATTTATATTGATTGTATGTGCGTGTTTATCACCATCATCCAAATCATCCTTCTCATCTTCATTATTTAATGCAAAATAAGTACTCTCGAGTATAGCACACCACAAAACACAAATGCATTGCAAATGTGGTGGCTTGGCGGGCGGTCGGTCGGTCGGATGAGCTGAGGTTGGTTGGCCAAAAGTGGAGACAAGTAAAGCAAAGTATGAATGCATGCATGCATGCATGGTATACCTGATTTCCCACCCATTTGTGATGGTGGCGGCGGGCGCGTTTAAAGACAAAGAAATCCACCACCAACATCAACACCATCATCGTCGTTCGTCCTCATCACACAACTGTCACTTATCCGTGTGAAGTGCAGTAAAGTCCGGGGATGACAGGCAGTAAGAAGCCAGAGGAGGGGTATTGATTGAGATGTTTGGTGAGGATGGTGTTGGTGCTGGTGTAGGTGGGGGGAAGAGGGAGGGGAGTCTCTTTATATATCAGCGGTCATCGTCGCATTGCGCCTCCATATCACATAACAAATATGAATTATCAATCAAGAGACACGAGCGAGCGAGCGAGCGGGGACACCTACAAATCTGCTATCATTTGTATTTGTATTTTTGTTTTTCGTTTTTTTTTATTAAAATATATACACCTTCATTTAGTGGTAATTTATTGTAATAAATATTTGTTTTGCAAATTACTTTGGCAGAGGGGTGCCGAACAATAAAAAAAAAAACAAAAAACTTCAAATGAGGGGAAAAAATATCCGAGAGGGACTCCATGGAGAACCTACCAATGGAATTTTTCTGCAGATAGAAGAGTTTTTTTTATATCATCTCTTGATAAAGACTCCTTTGCATCCATCATTTGATAGAAGACCCCTTAAATTACTTCTATAAATTCGAGGGGACTCCTATCAAATGATGGACCCAAAGGGGTCTTTATCAAAGGGTCTTTGCCTCCTAGAGAAAACGTCACCTCTTAATGCCCGACTAACTGAGACTTTTTCACATTTGAAAAACCAATAAAACCGTCACACGCTGCCCGAATGTTACCCTGCGGTATTTTGGCCCATTCCCGCCGAAGCGCTTGTTTGAGGTGATCGACACTTTGGTATTTTTTAGTGCCAACCTTGCTTTCCAAAATTCTCCAGACACAACCGGAGATCCGGAGATTTTGGTGGCCATTGTGAGCTGGAAATGAAGCGAGGAACCTCATTTTGTAACAATACTTGGGTGGCGCGTGCTGAGTGCGATGGGCTGAGTCCTGTTAGGATGTCCAAGGTCTGCGACCAAAATGTTTGCATGCCCAAGGCTTTAATACACCCTCCAGAATATTTTCGCGATAATATTCGGCATTTATTCTGATGCCACGGTCGATTAATATGAGCGGAGAGCGACCATCGGCTGTTATGGCGGCCCACACCACACCATCACCATGGCCGGCGCTTGAGTTCTGGTGGCCAACCGAAGGTGCAAATTTTTAGCTGACCTCTTTGGCAAGTAAATACGATCATTTTGTTTGTTTACAAACAGCTGGACACGAATGTTTTCTCATCGGAGTAAACCAAATTCGGCAGTTCACCACTTTCGGCCAAGTGAAGCAAGTCTTTAGCTCTTTTGAGTCTATTTTCTTTCCGTTGCGGTGTAAGTTCTTGCACTTTTTGGAATTTCAATGGCATTATGTTCAGCTCTCGATCCATTTTACGGTCACTGCGACGCGAGTTTCGATTAAGTCGCTTTTTTACTTTTCGAACCATTTCTGCAGATGTTGGTGTTTTCTTCCGTCGACTTTTCATCTCAATTCGTTTGAAAGATAGCGTGATTAGAACAGACGGACATCGACTTAGAATTTTACTGGTGAGCGCCTAAAAGTATGTTATAGAAATGCTACAGATAATTGTGGAAAAACTCACTTTATATATAACACGAACATTTTGTAAAGACTAGGCTCTAGATTCCTTTCAACTAAAGAAGATCTCGCCTTCTTTCTTAACTTATTTGTAAAGAAGAACTCCAAGTTGTTCATGCCATGTCTGCATAAAGCATTTAAGAGATATTCTCCAAGATCTAGATCTTCTGTGAAAAGAGTACCTCTTGGGGAAAATTTGTAATTGTAACCACTTCTAAGAAACTTCAATCTATTTAACGGCTCCTGATCAAGTCTATGTATCGAAGACCTTCAAGAAAATTGTTGTACATCGAAGGCTTCTAAAATACATCAATCTACAGAGGACCTCAAAGGCCGTTAATTTTTAAAAGGTATTTCCATATTACCATCTGCCTGATAGGCTGCTTAAGAAATCTTGAAAAGTTTAAGTTTCATGCATCTTCCGCTTGGGCCATTAATTAGCCATTAAAATATCCACGTACATACATCCTGAGATTCTTGTATGTTAACAAATTCCGCTTCTAAGAGGTGTCAGCGTTTGTGCAATCCTTTGTCTTCACATTTAATTTATCTTGAAAATATCCACGTTATGAATACTGAGCTTAAGCCTTCAATGTGCCTACTCAGCATGGGCCTGCAATTAATCTTAAAAATATCCACGTACATACATCCTGAGATTTTTCTGGTCTGTTAACAAATTCCACGTCTACAAAGCCTTCTTAATTAATCCTAAAAAGAATCCACAAGTTATTCTTATAAAATTTTCTAAAACAAAAATAATTAAAAAATTCACACCCAATGCTTTAAGTATACAAGAAACTCCACAGGTTTATAGGTCAACCACCTTAGTCAACGTTGGTGCATCCTTTGTCTTCACTTTGAATTAATCTTAGGAATGTTTACATTACGAAACCTGAGCTTAGGCCTTTAATTGAAGCTAAGTTTATAAAGCCTGCTTAGTTAAGCTTCAACGATTCCACAATTTATGTAGTCTGTTGAATTAATTTTCAGTTTTGTAAGCTACTCCACGAAAAATTCTTATCAAATGCTAAAAAAAATGCGCGCCAAATCCCCTTGAAGCTATTTTTTAACTCCAAGTTAATTATTCCATTTATCTCCCTACAGATCCCTTTGTTTACATTTACAACTCTAATGTGAACATGACATCAATATGGCAATACCTCTACTCTCGACGCAGTCACAATTCGCGGCAGAGTGTTGGCGACGACAGAATGAGAGAGAGAGAAAATGAAATGCATGGTGGCAGCGCAGTTGACGCATTACAAACAACCTGACACATATGATTCTCAGCCACAAAACAAAACTGCATATTGTAAAATGTAGAAAAAAGAAAAACAATAAGAAAATAGGGGGAACATACAATAACAAAAATAAACAGCTAGAAAAATTAATGTAAAAATGAATTTTAGTTTTTGATCGTGATTTTCATTGACCGATATCTTTGGACGATGATGTTTGTTTTGTTCATTTTCCAATTTCATACAACAAACAAAGAGGGAAGAAGCAAAAACAACAACGGCAAAATATGAACATATGTACAGTGTGTGCATTTTTTTTTTTGATTTGTGTTAAATAATAGGACATTCCGAACATTTATATTTATTTTAATATAGGTAAATGTACACATCACAGACACACATATGCATGTATGTATGTTTGTTTGGTTTTTATTTTTTTTTGATACATACAAATGTATGTATGTCCAAATGATGACAACAATACTACACACTCAACTCAGCTGTTGTGTGTTTGGAGGAAAGGAGGATAACTACAGTACATTTGTGTTTTTTTTAGGAATATCAATAGGGGGTGGCTGATTGACAGACAAGCTGTCATAATAAAGGCCGAACACCCAAAACAAAGGAGGGGGTCCCTATTTTTGCCCGACCATTTTCCTTTATTGCATTGAAGAAAAGTAAATAAAAAGTCAAATCTAGAAGCAACAAAACAATTTATTTTCAGACACTTACCTTTTTCTTTGTTTGCTGCTGCTGCTGGTGGTTGTGGAGGTGCTCTCCTTCTTTACTTTCTGATTTCTCTTCGGTTCAGTTATGAAGTCTCTTCTCCCATATGTGGATTTGTTTTAGGGACTTAATCGTTTGATTATTATGGAAATTGCACTTTTATTGAAAGAAGAGGAAGAGGAGAATGAAAAAAAAAAACAACAAGAAATTATATTTAATTGCAAACGGCAACAGCAATGAGACAGAGGGAATTATAAAAAATAACTAGAAAGAAAATCAACACACTCAATGCAAGGAGAAATAATAATAATAATAATAACAACAACACCACCACACATTTGTGATGGAGACGTTGACATCGACCGCGGCAGCGGTGAAGCCGAAGTTAAATACGAGTTGGGTTATAACGCGAGAGCACAATAACGACGACAGCGTCGACGTTAACGAAGACGGCTATTAAAAACGTAACGTAGTTCTTGTTGTTGTTGTGTACAACACAGCAAAATATTTTGATTTTTTCTTCCTCTTTGTTGTTGGAACTTCTTTTTATTTGTAATTCGACTGGGTATTTTTCCTTTGGCAAAAGGGACCACAACACCAAAATTTTTATTCACTTCTCCATGCAGGGGGTCCCAATTTCACATCAAGAAAATAACACACACTTTTCTTCCACTGGATTTTTACATTTCATTAACAACAATTATCCATTTCACTTCTCCTCTTCTTAGAGGGGGTTTCTTTTTGCGTATATGAATTTTTTGTGGGTTTTTTCTTTTGACTTCTTTGTATTTCTTATTGTATTTTATTTTACGTATAATTGGTTTCCTTCTTCTAATTTATTTTTTTTCTTCTTCACGAATGAAACGAACGTATGACGACCAAAAAAACAGCAACAGCAAAGTAAAGCAAGGCAAAAAAATAGGTGATGACTTCTCTTTGTCTAATTGCGTTGTTTTGTTATGTTTTTTTCACATTTAAATAGACGATGAAAAACTTTAAATTTCCATTACTTTTTTTCGTTTTGCTGTGCCCTTTTTCTCAAGTATTTCGTGAACGTACACCCGCCGTCATGTGCAATATTTTTTTGAAAAAATATTTAGTAACTTTTTCGTAATTGGACGAACATATTTTCTTTTATTTGTTTGATATGAGAATGAAGTCGTTTGGTCGCCGTTTAAACGACAGTTCAGGGGATATCGCAGCTGACATCCTAAAACGGTGACGCCGTTAAATTTTTGACATATGTGAAATGACATAGCCATGTTCACGAATAAGTTGAATTTTAAGAACGGACATTTTAACAAAAAGGAAATTTAACGTTTAGACAGGATAATTTGTGCATTATATTAACTTACTAATATATCATAAGAAATAAAATAATCCAGCTGGGTTATTTTCTACTAGTCATTGATTTTATATTTTTTTATAACAAAAATAACAAAATTGGAAGGAGTCAGACACAATAAAGAAAGCAATTGTAACCAGTCTACTTTTTTAGTGTACCATGTTCATACCATGGCAGAATAATACAGGTAGATGCATCAACGTTGTCTTTTTTTTTCAAATATAAGTAAATTTTTATATGTTTTCTTATACTACGTCATTCGGAGGCTGTTATAATTCGCGTTTTTCAACAATTTTTACAAATTTTAATAATTTTTCATTCAACATTTTCAATTCCAAAATTTGGCAGTTCATTGTCGCAGCAGCTGTGTCGACGCGTCTACCTATATTCTTCAACCATGGTTCATACCCACAAATCATTGTATAATAAAAAAGTAGAGCTACAGAAATATATAGCCTTGAGGCTATGTCCGCTTCTTGTCAGACTCATTCAAAAGTGTTTTCTTATATTTCCTCATTTTTAAAATGAGTTAAATAGCGTCAAAAATGAAAGAATCCAGGCATTTTCTCTCAAAAATATGATTTATACTGTTAAACCTTTCAATTTCATGGCTACACTGGTTTTATACTTCAAAAGTCGCTCACACTAAGAAAAAATTGTAATCAGCTGGGAGCTTCCACTTACCTGCAAGAATCTACTAGTTCTACAATTTTCGATATCACAAAGGAAAAATCGGTTATCGTAGTAAAAACTTTTAAGGTGAGAATACATAAAACGTTTTTTGAGTGGCTCACTGAATAGAACCATCCTTGATATATCCAATGATTTCCCAAAGTTATCAAATTATGAATTCTCATACCTTGAGGGATTCTTTCTTTCTATTCCAAGTGTATCACATCTGCAGAAACATTACCGTAAATTGTACAAAGACATAGGGTATAAAGATAGGACAAGTCAGAGTCAATATATTAACCGGGTGATTTACCTCTGTTGTTACATAATCACCAATGTTAAGTTGTTTTAAGAGCACATGCAGTTTTCCATTAATTGAAAACGTCAATGAAATACAATTTTGAGCCCAAATTTTTTATTTACAGAAAATTACGTTCTTTAAACTACTCCGTAATTATGTTTTTTTTATGCCAACACGTCTCCTTTATGAGGAACGCCTCAACATTTTTTTTCACAATTACTATTTTTCCATAATGCATTTTGTCCAGACTTTACCATTTTAGGTCTTTGAATTGTCACACGGTCGGCCTGCCTGACGTAGACTTTGCTTGGGTGTTTTATTTTGTTTATTTTTCTTTTAAGTTTTTTATTATGGAAAATATTATAAATAATGGTAAATGATTTCACACCCCACTTTCTCACTCCTGCCTGCCTTTGCAAATCCATAGAATTATACCATTCAATTTGTATAATACTCTCATATTTCTTCATTTCCGTTAAGACAATAAAGGCTATCATTTCACTTTGTATTTTTTGCCCACCTACTGAGCCCTAATGCCACCAAACGATTTAGTGAACCCTGACTTTTGGCACTGACATATGAATGTAGGCAAAAAAACACGAAGGAGAATAAACGAGAGAAATCTTTTGCTCCACGGAAAAATTCAATAAAATTCGATTTATTATTGATAAATTAACATAAAATTAATTGAAAGTGCAAATATTCAATAAATATTAAATGGAATTTATAAAATTTATGTTAAAAGAGAAGAATAAAACACGATTTTGCAGCAAGAAAAACCAAGTGAAAAAATTTCTATGGCCCCGTGAGAAGGTGTGTGTGTGTGTAACAAATAACACGAAAGAAAAAATCAAAAAGCAGCAAGCAGCACATCACAACAATAAAAAAAGTTCAAATTTTTCTCCCCGTACTTGTACTCGGCACATAAATATATATATTACATATATCCATAGCTGCTGCTGCTGTTGTTGTTTGTTTTGTGTGAGAGACGAGAGCTATCCGTCATCTTCATCATCTTCTGGAATCAAGCAGCAGCACCACAGTCAGCCGTCAGCCAGTTAGTGTTTGGCAAAAGAAAATTGAAATAAAAGCAAATAAACCAGAAAAAGAAAATTGAGAGAAAAAATAAGCAAACCAATAAATGTGTGTGTGTGTGCGGTTGGAGGAGAGCGCCGCGCAATGATGTTGAGATGTGTGTGAGAAATCATTCAATTCAATAAATGTGAAAACTAGTATTATTTTATACACGGTTTAAACGGCCGGACAGACGGACAAACGTTTTTGGTCGGTTAATTGTTGGGTCATCGACGACGATATCGTTGAGGTGTTTTTTGTGTCGATCCCAAAAGTGTATTTGTGTAATGAACGAGTTTTTTGTTTTCTTGTGAGATTTCTGTGTGTATTACCCCTAAATCGTGTCGTCGTATCGCAGCATATCGTGTCGTTTGGTGTCATTCTCGGTCGCTCGATTAGTCTCTGGCCGTCGTGGTCGTGTCAATATATAGGTAAATTTTGTTGTATTTTAACAATAAAATTTGTGCGATATTTTGTTGTTATTGTTGTACGTCTGTCACACACATCGATTGAAACAAGAGAATGTACATAAAGTTGTGTGCAGACGAGGACAACGAATAGTTTTGCAAAAGAAAACAACAAAGCCATGGTGTTTTGATCTAAAAATTTGTGAAAAAGAAATACGAAATGAAGAAAATGTTATTAAAAAAGATGTAATGAAAAGTAATTGATAAAGAAAAAAAAAATATCCCAAGTGAATGTCCACCTAAAGAAGACGAAAAAAATCTATCAAAAGATACACACAGTGTTGCATTTTTTTGGCTACCTAACAACTACCTACTTTTTTACCCAAAAAAAAAACGAAAACAAAAACAAACAACAAAACAAAAAATATACATATTGATTGTGCCGAAATAAACAACAACAAATAACCAGCCAGCCAACCAGCAACACCAGTATGGATTAATCTTCGTGCTTGGCCTCGCTCGCCAAAATAAAAAACAAACAAACAGACAAATTCGCATAACAGCACAGCACTGTAAGTGGGCCTAAATTTTCCTTCCTACCTATCTTTTGTTTTAAATTCATCATAATTACCTTAAGCCAAGGTAATTTTTTCGAGGATTTTTCTTTGTTTATTATTTCCATGTAGCCATAAAACATGCCTAGTTTTGTTTTCCCGGAAAAATGCAAAACAGAAAATTGCCAATATTTTTTTCTGGATTTTTATGACGATTTTCTGGAATAATTTTCCATTGCTGCTTGTGAAGAAAAACAATTCTTGTTCGTAATTTTTTGTTTTTCTTTTTTTTCTTCATCTGACTCCCATTTGTTGTGCTCTCGATTGTGTTAAATTCTCTCTCTTTCTCTCTCTCTCTCACCTCTTGCCTTGAGGTAAACTGTCACCTTTTCAGTGATGCCAAATTGTCGTTTTTTCTTTAGATATTATTGTTAATTGAAAATTGGGCGATTTTTTTTATCCATTCCAATAGGAATCGTCAAATTTAAATAAATTTGCATTCATTTGGGATTTTTGAGAAATTTTAATAGTTTTCATAACAAATTTGAGCCGAATAACACATTAAAAAGTGATGCAAACTAATTTCTGCATTTCCAGTAGATTGAAAATAATGAGAGTTATTCTCAAAAAAAAAATCACAAAAGCAAAATAACTTATTTTCCTCATTACCAAGTAATGAGTTACCCCAGCAAAATGTGTGTGCTTCCAATTTCAAAATCGAAGGTTGGGTGTTCGAGACTCAGCGTCGGCAAACGAAGAAGGAAATTATAAAATACGATTAATTGTTTAAAGAGAAGTATTTACGTCACCCCATGCTAGAATTAAGAAGGTAACCATATGCATCATATTCATATAATATTGTTTTCAAAACTATTTCTTTGACAAGAGTTCATTGCCAAAATATATGCCTGTAAATCCATTCGGCAAATGAAGAAAGAAATTATAAAATACGAGCAGTTGTTTAAACACTAATTTGAATCAGTTCATGGTAGAATTATGAAGGTAGCCTTATGCACTGTATGCTTACAGTTTTGTTTTCAAAAAATTTCCTTTGCCAACAGCTCATTGTCAAAATTATTATTTATAAATCTAAAGAGTAAAGGGTGATTTTTTAGCCATTATCTTTTTGGGAGCACTATTTTCAAGACCTCACGCACATTTCTTATTTTTTTTGTTTTACTGTCAAACATCTTCAATTTGTTTTTTAAAGTTTTTTTTTTGGTAAGTGAGCTCTTGGAAAAATGGCAGCAGAAGCATTTTTTTTATCCAAAAATTGTGTTCTGCGACGAAACTCAGTTTTGAATCAAGTCTGCCTAAATAAGCAGAATTGTTGGTTTTGGAGTGCAGATCAGTCAGAAGCATTGCAAAAACTACAAATGCATTAAGAAAAAAGTCGCAGTTTGGTGCGGTTTATGGGCTAGTGGCATAGTTTGACTATACTTTTTTTACCCTACAACACAAGGTGGACAGGGTATTATGCCTTTTGTGAATTTGTTTGTAACAGGCAAACGGAAACCAAATAGACCCATAGTTCCTTTTGATGGTCTTCATAGAATGATATTCTGAGTCGATTTATGCATGTCCGTCCGTCCATGTATTTTTGTAAACAAATTCTGCACAAGTCATATGTTTGACTCAATTACCTTATTGAAATTGAAGATAATCAGTCAAAATATAGATATAGCTCCCATAACTATCTTCGTAGGATTTGCTTTTTTAATATCAGCCCAAATAATGTGGAATTTTGCACATACGACCAAATTAAGCCTGGAAATAAGTATGCCAAATTTGATCCAAATCGGTTCAGATATAGATAGCTCCCATATATATTGTTCTTCCGATTTGTAATTTTTGTCCTCCTCAGCCGTAATATGCACTCTGTAACATTGATATTTGGGAAATATATCAAATACAGCTCAGAAATACCTTTGCCAAATTTATGGAAATCGGTTCAGATTTGCATATAGCTCCTATATATATTTTCGTCCAAATAGTCTTTTATTGTGCACCAATATCAGTCCAAATAGTATGGAATGTACAATATCCGTTTATTATTTGGTATCGGCTCATATAACTGCATAATCTGGTTTAAAGCTACATTTTTAACAAATATATGCTGCAATTAGACATCTTTTTTTGTGCTCAGCAGAAAAATTTCTTTTTTTTTTCAATATTGATCTACGTTTTTTTTATTTTTTTTTGAAGCAATAATTAAATATTTTTTAATAACAATTGACGATATAGGTACGTGTTGTGGCCATAAGTACCATATCGGATGCATGTTGCAGGTCCAAGTCGAATTTCCCAGTCGAAATGATACAATTTCGTTAAATTATTACCTTGAGACGCATCATTTAAACGATTTTATCTCTTTGTTTAGAAAATGTTGACCGTTTGGTGTAAAGGTACTCGTAGTCGTAGTCCAACTATAGACAATCTGAAAATAAATTCTTGTTCTATGAAAACTTGTAATTAAATATATTTTCTTGAACAAATTTGATTTCACTTTTCTTTCCTTTTGTAAATGATTTTATGAAACAAAAATTGAGCCCTTGATCTCTGTATAGTAGATATATTATAAAGTGTAAATTTGGTTCATATTAATATAGACAGGTGGGCGGATAAAGTCAGAACAAGATTTAATTTTCTGTTGGACTGCCAAAAAGTATTTTAAAATTATTCTAATTTTTAACTTATAAGATCATCCATTTGGCTGGAAAAATATCCTCAAGGATTTTCAGTCCTCATTCTAATAATAAGAACTCCCTTTTTTTAAGTAGATTGGATGAATTACAAAATATGTGGCGATTATTACATTTAGAGATTTTTTAAAGAAAACGTTTTTTTAATCGACCAACTTGGCATCACTCGCACTGTTTATGTATCTCACTGACAACTTCTCTCTCATACAAATTGAGTCCTTCTCTCTCTCTCTCTCTCTTTCAATTATCTTTTTTTTTTTTGATAGGGTGAGCACTTGAATTTGCGTAGTTAGAGAGTATTTATTTATTTGCCGCAAATATTTTGCTGTTGTTGTTGTTTTGTTCGTCATTTTTATTGTAGTTTCTATCGTTTTGTCTGCCATTCGTATTTCAAAACAACCGAGTAATTTTCATTTTCTTGTACACAGCTGCACACACACACATTCCATCCACCATACATTCAAATTCATAACAGTCAAAAATTCCGTTTGATTGAGATACACATGCACACACACAACCGCACGTAAACAAGTTGTTTGTGTATCTTTTGGATACAATCGAAAAACACTGATGATTCGCTTAACCGGTAATTGAGAGTGGGGAATTAAGATATGGAGTTGGGAGGAAAGGTGCTTTTGAATGAATAATTATTTGGAGGTGTATTTATAGGATAAATATATTATAATAATAAATAAAGATAAATAATTACAGGTCAAATTAAGAAAACAAAATAAAATTGATCAAAAAAAAAAAAAAAATGAAATGGAAGAAAAAATATCTAGATATCGATTATATTTCTATAGAAAAATGTCGCTATCGATTATTTTTCTCTAGATAAATTTAGTTATTGATTATTTTTCTATAGAAAAATCTTGCTATCGATTATTTTTCCATAGAAAAATCTTGCTATCGATTATTTTTCCATAGAAAAATCTTGCTATCGATTATTTTTCCATAGAAAAATCTTGCTATCAATTATTTTTCTACAGAAAAATCTTGCTATCGATTATTTTTCTGTAGAAAAATATTGTTATCGATTATTTTTCTGTCGAAAAATATTGTTATCAACTATTTTTCTATAGAAAAATGTTGTTATCGATTATTTTTCCACAGAAAAATCTTGCTATCGATTATTTTTCCACAGAAAAATCTTGCTATCGATTATTTTTCTACAGAAAAATCTTGCTATCGATTATTTTTCTATAGAAAAATCTTGCTATTGATTATTTTTCTATAGAAAAATTATATTATTGACAATTTTTCTCTGGAAAAATCATATTATCGATAATTTTTCTCTGGAAAAATCAGGTTGTTTATAATTTTTCTTGTTATCGATAATTTTTCTATAGAAAAATCATGTTATCGATAATTTTTCTATAGAAAAATCATGTTATCGATAATTTTTCTATAGAAAAATCATGTTATCGATAATTTTTCTATAGAAAAATCATGTTATCGATAATTTTTCTATAGAAAAATCATGTTATCGATAATTTTTCTATAGAAAAATCTAGTCATCGAAAATTTTTCTGCAAAAAAAACTTGTTATCGAAAATTTTTCTGCAGAAAAATCTTGTTATCGAAAATTTTTCTGTAGAAAATTCTTTTTGTCGACAATTTTTATATGGAAAACTCTTGCTATGGATTATTTTTCTATATAAAAATCTTGTTATCGAAAATTATTCTATAGAAAAATCTTGTTATCGATAGTTTTTGTACAGAAAAATCTAGTTATCGACAATTTTTCTACAGAAAAATCTTGTTATCGATCATTATTTTTCTATAGAAATATCTTGTTATCAATCATTTTTCTATAGAAAAAATCTTGTTATCGATAGTTGTTCTACAGAAATATCTTGTTATCGATAGTTTTTGTACAAAAAATTTAATTATCGACAATTTTTCTACAGAAAAATCTAGTTATCGACAATTTTTTTATAGAAAAATCTAGTTATTGATTATATTTTAATAGTTATCGAAAATTTTTCTATAGAAAATTCTTGTTATCGATATGTTTTCTATAGAAAAATCTTGTTATCGATCATTTTTCTATAGAAATATCTTGTTATCGATCATTTTTCTATAGAAAAATTTTGTTATCGATAGTTGTTCTACAGAAATATCTTGTTATCGATAGTTTTTGTACAAAAAAATTTAATTATCGACAATTTTTCTACAGAAAAATCTAGTTATCGACAATTTTTCTATAAAAAAATCTAGCTATCGACAAATTTTCTATAAAAAAAATCTATCTATCGACAGTTTTTCTATAGAAAAATCTAGTTATCAACATTTTTTTATAGAAAAATCTAGTTA